TACATTTTCATAATACTGATAAAGATATTATTGTTATTTAATTTGTCATAATATGATTAATATTTAATATTATATAGGTTCTCAAAAGTAGTGCAGTATAATTTTGGCCAAACAACGCATCTTTCGGGTTCTATGGTAATTTGTTTTGTACTGTTTATATTCTCGTCGATTGCGCTGACGATAAAACCGTTGACGATGTTTTCGTCAGGGGAACTCCATCTGATTCCAATCGATTTGCGCTTCAAGTTTTTCTTGTAAACTATTAATTCGTCTACAGGTTCTAAAACTGAAATGTAATAAAAATAATGTATAATATAATATGTACATATTGTTACGATTTTACGTATAGTAGGTATAAATAGTACATCCAGTGGTGTGTTCATAGGTTGGGGGGGGGGGAAGGAAATTTCAGTAAGACTATTTTGTAGCATTGTAGGCTGTAGAAATATTTATAGCAATAGAAAACCTTATTACATTTAGTTTTGGTTTTGAACGGTATCAATAATCCTTGTTCTGAGTTGTATCCATAATTCGTTAGTACGTATAATTGCAGTTCATATTTGGTGCTGGGTTTTAATCCATCGTAGTTCACCGTGTTTTGTGTAGTCAAGTTTGATACTTGCGTGCCCTCGACAATATCCTATACATTATAATTCGATATAATATATTTTTAAAAATTACATACAAGTCAATTTACGTTGCTAATATATGAAACAAAATAATCACAACATTTTAAATTTATATGTAGGTATTGATATTAAAAAGCTACCAATATAGATGCTATAATTATACGAACTTTAAGTATGACTTGGTATCCTTGCAATAAACCATTTAGTTTAGAACACTCGGTCTTGTTTATCGTCCAACTGAAGTATGCGCTTTGATTGGTTATGTATGAACCATTTTCGTCATTGATCATTATAGGTGTTAATTTTGGATCTATAATAATATGATCAATTTATCAGATATTATTAATAATTTTGAATATTATGTTCAATACTGAAATGTACGAAAACTACTAACTAGAGATAGGCGTTTTTACGAAAAGAATATTAATATTGTCGTTGTAAGTATATCCTTTAATTTTGGGGTCAACTTTTACAACATACTGTGTGTTCGGTATCAAATCCCAAATTTCGATTCGCGTCTGATTGTAAACTAATAGCGATGCCCAGATATTTGTTATGACTTCGTTTGAACAGCTAAAATGCTTATTGATCTAGTCATATAATTGAAAATTTAAAGGTGAAACTTTTTAATATAGTAATTTACAGTATAAACGTATTGCCTGCCTACCTTTAAGTTATTAAATAATGAAATATAATATTTTATAATAATATGATTATCATACCTTGTATTTAATGTTATAATGTAACGGCGTATTTGCATATTTTTCGTCAACATCCCACGTTATTACCAGTGATGAACTTTGGTTTAGTTTGGCTTTTATGTTTTTTATTTGCACAGATCCTATACAAAATGAGTTTGCAAATTAATGTTTAATAGTAAAAAAAACGGCGAAGTACGGTATAGTAGGTGTCAAGAGGCTGTAATGAATGGGTTAAATTTGAATTCAAAGGTATAAAATAATTTGAGAGAAGAGGGTCTGTCATCCAATAATAAAACTAAGTACCTATGATATGTATATTTTATGATATTATGGTGAATAAAGTAATTTTTTTACTATTAAGTATTAGTCATTACTCATTAATACTACAGTATAGGTCAAATTAATTTTCACCGTAACATCTGAAAATGGAATTGTATGTATAAAATATAATAATATATTATTATATACATAAAAGTACTTAAAAGTTTCAAGTATACCCATGAATAATATTTTTAATTACAACAAAATTACTAAAATCTTTGATCTCCGTTTAAATATCTAATCTCGCCAAATTTTTAACTTAAATATCAATATAATGTAACAAAAATATCGTGTATAATATATTGTTCAGATTTTTTTATCCGCAGTATGAACTATAAGCATCGTTGTTATAAATATTCAATCTTAAGATATAAAAATTGAACATTTTATAAATTCTTAACTACAATAAAATTTGTAAATTTTCGAGATTTTTATCAATTTTGTAAATATTTGAATTTTAAATACTTGAATATAAAAACCGTGACGAATACCTATGGATATTCATACTGGGAAAAAAAATCTGAACAATATAAATACACGATATTTTTGTTACATATTGATATTAAAGTTCATATTTTGACGAGATTAGACATTTAAACGGAGATCAAAGATTTTAGTCATTTTGTTGTAATTAAAAATATTATTCGTGGGTATACTTGAAACTTTTAATGTATATATTATTATATTTACTATTTCTTAACTGCTATTATAAAATTGTTTTGCCTTATTGAGGGACTTTGTATTAAATATAAATGCATTTCGACTCCTAAGGTTAGATTAGTTAGGTCACCTCAGTTTTTCCGTAATATTTTGTTTGTTTTTCGTTACAAGTTTGAAAACTGCTGGGAATTTTTACTTTTGACACCCCCAAAGCTCTAACTAGATTTACTTTCCCATCAGAAAAATGCTGAAGTAGAAAATCGAAACATTTTCAATGTCTCAAAAGGTGATTACAGATTCAAAATAAAAACCAACATCCGCTCAGAATTTTAAAATTATGTTTCCTCAAATGTTGTATTACATACCATAAGGCTCGGTGTAAATATATGATATTTCAGATGATTTAGCCTGACCCGTAGCTGATATTGCTGTTACTTGAACTGAGTATTTTTCTCCATATAGTAGATTTTCAAATACATATCCATGATTATCATTGGATATTACTTCTTCTGAAAAACCTTGTTGCTGTAGAGGTGTGTTCACCATCATAAGTTTCAACAAGTACCCTGTTATATAGCAGTCTTCTTCATTTTGATCATTAAGCTACATGATTACAGGAAATATCAAAGATATTAACATAATATAATATATTGTTTCAAACTCAATTATAAAATATAATAACTATAAGTCTCATGCAGAAACACTATAATATGCAATTTTATTTTAGTTGTTTACCTTGTTCCAAGTAACATTGATGTAGTCTGTACCACTCAATAAGCTTACACCATAATTTATATTTCTTGAAACTATAATACAAAGAAAATTGATGTAATTGATTGTACTATTATAATATTTTGTTTTAAAATGTCATTAGTAGTCTTAATTATATTTTAATTATTGAGTATTATGTATACGTAGGCACTTGGTAGAGTAATTGACTATTTTGATATCCTCTATGTTGGAATTTCCGTCTTCTGCAACTATTATCACACCGAAGGAGTATGATATTCCTGGTTTCAGATTGTCTATGATTTCTGTAACGGAATTTTGTTGTTTGATTTCTTTTAGTTCCAATTGTTTGAATTCTGATTCATTTGAAGTGATCTATAAATATGGATAAATATGTATATTTTTTTTATTGGTGTTTGAGCATCGGCAACTATGTGGCCATTATCTTTTTGTGTGGAGTTACGGTTAGTTGAGAACATGTGTTTATGTGGGGCAAGGATTCGTCACCGAGAACCCTGGGTAGTCACCTAGTCCAGTATACGTCTACGCCACACCAGACAAAACATAAATATTATAAATGTACCAAAAAAAGAAGCATTCCAATCAGATAAATAAACAAAAACCCCGGTAGGCGTATATTGGTTAATCTTTTAAAATATTTGTTTGATTATGTTATTCAACTGTTATACATTACTATAATTGCATATTACAAGCTTTATCCCAAGTTTTTTAGTTATACTTTGGCTTGTATTATTAACATCGAAATTGTATTATTTTGATAGTTGTCATAATATTGTTGTTATTGATATAATGACTTTTAATAAACAATTGTGTTTGGACTAAAGTCTAATTTAATTCATCAGGTTCAATGTACTACAAGACCGTTCTCAAGACGTTCAAAATAGTTAATTCGTACTTAGATAAAAGTCCAACATACTATGTTAACAGACATTTATATTATTATTTATTTTATTACTTTATTCTGAACTATACATAATTAACATATAATAACTATTATTATCTTCTTATTCTATAAACACCATTAGTATTATGTTCAAATAGTTCAAACCCAAATCTGTACATAATATATCCATAGATGCGTAAATAGCCATGGCTAGGGAAAATGTCCCTGGGACATCTTATAATAAAATTAATGAAAAAAAGTTTAATTTAAGTCCATATTTAATTTTTTTTAATGGGTAAATTATTATTCATTTTTAATATATTATTACTTATTAGATACCTTTAATTTTTTATGTTTGGTATTGTATTTTCTTAATATATTATATACCTACACATGTCACATTGTTGAATGTACCTACCTAATACCCATGTTTTATAATATTTACCTTAAATATGATTTGGTAGTAGACAGATTTAACATTTCTACTGCCTTGTATGTTTTCTGAATTAAAATCAATTTTCAATTTTAGTGACTTAAAATCCGACGACTCAAGTTGTGGTGGAGATTTGAGCCACGGATACTCTGCAATCGAATTATAGATACATTATCTAAATTTTGTTCCGAACACCGTATAGATTCAATCTTAATAGTTTTACTTTCTTTACAATCCGGAGCCATGTAACTAGTCGCACATCCTTTGTTGCAAGTACCGGTGTAAGCGTCACATGATGTTGAATTACATCGCTCTGAACATAGTTGCTTGCAATTTACACCGTACGTACCACTTGTGCATTCTACTCGTAAAAGATTCATTGATCAAGACGTGTATAGTCACAATTATACAATTGATATTTTTATTAATAAAGCCTAATTTATGTGCACTTATTACTTATTAGTTAATAATGCTTTAATATGCAAAATTAAATATTTAACGTACATCTAAACTTAAGTCAAAAATATATATATATAGTCTTTGAACACTTTCATTTAAAAAAAAAAAATACAGTTCAAACCGAAAATAAAATGTCTTTAAACTCTAAAATATATGATGATATGTTATTCAAGACCTGTGGTGCAATCGTCTCCTCTATATCCCGCCGGACAGTTGCACCCAAAACCTTTGGTACAAAACATCATCTGCCGACATTGTGTTTGGCGCATTGAACATATTCCTGTGCAGTCGATGCCAAACGTGTTCGATCCGCACCCTGATGAATATATTATATTATAATGTTATCGTTCACACTCCTTTTATTTTCTTTATTTAAACACCGAAGCACTTTTGATTTCAAATTTATGAACATTTTTCAAATTATTTACCGTGTTCGCATTTATTGCCTTTGAAACCGGGAGGACACGTACAACCGTTTTTGTTTGGAAATCCTCCGTTAGCACACTCTGAAGATGGTAATATAGATTCCATTTGCGGCGTATTGACTAAAATTTTCAAAATATTATATGTTTAGCACAAGTGCAATATAGGTACAAATGTACAATGGTATCACTATAATTGATTCAACAACCACGGATATAATTAATTGTTAAATTTTCGTAGCGTTTATTATATACATCCCTTGTATTTATTTGGCTTAAGTTATGACTTCTGCAAATGTATAGTTCCTGCAATCGTACACGGGGGATGGATAATATTCGAAAATATTAATTTCCCACACAGTACAGCGGTAGCGGTTATGGCAAAATGAAGCAGGGCACAATTTTACCGACAAGACAAGATTACCGCCACCGTTGCAGTGTGTGGAGAGCTTCATTTTAGGTTTAACTGCTTTCAAGACTTGTTGAAAATTGAAATGCATTTCGCCGTATAGTGATCCGTTCGTCGACATGATATTGTAATTAATATTTATAAACATATTTTTGTTTCCACTTCCCAACAAATATTCATAGCATAATATTATTGATAGAATATAGAAGTAATATAGAAGCTATCTTCCGCCCAAGCATCACAATTCAAAGACTTAAAAAACGATCTTAAGAAACTGTCATGTCTAATTGCGGATCTTAAAGCCGAAAATACTGCGCTTCGAAATGATGTTGACTCACTTATGGACAAAGTTGCGAAACTTGAGTCAGGTTCAACTACTAACATTGCATCTAATACCGTCTCACAAGTGCTACAGGAGACTTTTGAGCGTGAAAGATGTTCTTATAATGTACTTGCTTATGGTGTCACAGAGTCACTTTCTTCAAATATTGCTGAACGTATTAAAAACGACAAGGAAACTTTTCAAAAATTACTCGAAGAAAATTCGATTGAGCCCTCTCATGGCTCCAAATATTTTCGGCTCGGTAAAGCTCGTTCTGATTATGTCCGCCCTCTCAAAGTTATTTTTACTTCAAAAGAAGATGCAACTAAACTAATTATGTCCTTTGCTGAGTTAAAAAACCAAGGGGTATCAATTACACAGGGATTTCGAGTTGTCAAGGACAAGACCAAACTCCAACGGGAACTACTAAAATCATGCCACTCGGAAATTGACCATAGGACTAGCAATGGTGAATCTGGGCTTTCCATCAAGTATGTTAACGGTTCTCCGAAAGTGATCTCGAATGGGTCAAAAAACGGTGTTCACCCTCGGCGACTAACCGATCCGAAGTCCAACGCCCAAATCAACTAGTAGCTTCCACTTTATTATCCGGCTTCTACCAAAACTGTAGGGGTCTTAATACTAAGTTAACCAATTTTAAATGTAATGCGTCATCTGTAAATTATATATTTATTGTACTAACCGAAACTTGGCTACACAACAATATCTCTAATTCCGAACTAGGTCTTATTAATTATAATATTTTTAGATATGACAGATGTAATTCTAATAGCAAATGCAGTCGTGGTGGTGGTGTTCTCATTGGCATTCGTAAAGATTACCTTTCGTGTAATGTTAAAGTTACTCAATTAAATGTTGAACATGTTTTTGTCCGTTTTACTATTGGTTCGTATAGTTTCATCGTTGGTGGTGTCTATATTCCACCTCTCTCACCTCCTTTAATTTATGAATCTCACGTCTCTTCCATTGAATATTTGATTAATACTTATCCTAATGACAAATTTATTATTTGTGGGGATTATAATATCCCTGAAACAAAGTGGGATAATGATGATTATGGTATTGTATACTCTTATTCTTCTCCTGCCCGTGCCCCTTGTATTCCCGAATCATTTACAACAAATGGATTCTTTCAAAAAAATAATATTTATAACTCAACCAATTCGATTCTAGACCTAGTTTTTTGCAATGATAAAGCTTTAACCGTTGAAAAGTCGCTTGACCCGCTAATTCCTATAGATAAATATCACCCAGCTTTAAGTATTTTACTTCCATTTAATCTCCCAGTACCAAGCTGTAAACAGAGCCGCAGGTTCTACAATTTCCGCATAGGTGATTATGGGAATATCCGTTCCTTTGTGTCTACATTTAACTGGTCTTCAACAATTTCTCAATACGACCTTGACTCAGCAGTAAATGTTTTATACGACGCATTGCATAAATCAATCCTTGATCACATTCCCCAGGTCTCTTTTAATGAATCAACATACCCACCCTGGTTTACCAAAAATCTTAAAAGTATATTGTTTTTGAAAAAAAAGGCTCATATTAATTATAAGTCTTCTTTAAACATTAATGATTATAGAGAATTCTCTCTCCTCCGAGCTAAACTTAAATATGAAACAAAAATATGTTATCGAAACTTTATACTCCGTACAGAAACAGCCCTTAGGACTAAGCCTAATGATTTCTGGAAATTTGTTAGGAACAACCGTGCTAAAATTTGTATTCCCAAGGAAGTGTCATACAACGAATTCACTTCTAGTAATGAACAAGAGACCGCCAATCTCTTTTCTGACTACTTTTCCTCAGTTTACTCTACTAAACGAGTAGATTTTGATGCCGAAAAAATAGATATTTCTACATATGATCTGCCCAATAATGCAACGTTTAGCGTAGAAGATGTATTACATGGCCTATCTTCGTTGGAAAATGTGTGGTCAATTGGCCCAGATGGCCTCTCAGGTCACTTCTTATATGAATTAAATTCTATTATTGCTTATCCGCTATGGCTTCTGTTTAGAAGGTCGCTTGATGAAGGCGTTTTTCCTTCCATGTTCAAATTCAGTTCTGTAACCCCTATTCCTAAATCTGGTAGCCCCTCCGTTGTTACCAATTATCGACCTATTTCCATCCAATCGCACATTTCAAAAATGTTTGAACTCATAGTCTTAAACGCCATTCAACCAACCGTCAATTCTATCCTAGCCGAAGAACAGCATGGCTTTCGCCCTAGACGGTCTACTACCACATGCAATCTTGTTTTCAATAACTATGTCTTTGACTCTTTTCAACAACGAACTCAAGTAGATGTAATCTACATTGATTTTCAAAAAGCTTTCGATTCAGTCAACCATAATGTACTTATTCATATTCTCAAAGAATCAGGTTTTGGCGAACCTCTTCTGTCTTGGCTAAGATCCTTTGTTAGTAACAGGTATCAATGGGTTAAAGTCTTTGATGTTAAGTCTAATTTGTTCTTAGCTTCATCGGGTGTCCCTCAAGGAAGTCATCTGTCGCCAATATTGTTTTCATTATTTATAAACAACCTCCACCGTGTGCTTCATCACTGTCAATTTCTGTGTTTTGCTGATGACATAAAATTATTTCTGCGTGTAACCACGCCAGATGATCGTACAAAACTTCAATCCGACCTAGATCGATTCTCAAATTGGTTCAACACTTTAGATTTAGCACTTAATCTCGATAAATGTAAAATTATGACCTTCACTAGATCCCGTTCTCCTATAATATACCCATACTTCATCAATAATATAGCTATTACTCGTACTACGGACTATGTCATGGATCTTGGTTTCAAGCTAAGCTGCAATCTTGACCCAACTGCTCACATCGAGTACGTGTGCTGTAAAGCGTTGAAAACCCTTGGTCTTGTAATCCGATTAATAAAAGATTTTCGGCTTGAATCGTCATTAAAAACACTTTTCTGTGCACTTGTGCGCCCCATTTTAGAATATGGGACCGTAATATGGGACCCTCATACTGCAGACAACGCAAGGCAAATTGAGCGTGTTCAGCGCCGGTTCCTACGCTATGCTAGTCATATCCTTAAGATACCTTGTGCACCTCATAACTATACACCGGTTGCTAATCATCTAGGTATGGCATCCTTAGCCGAACGTCGCCGTGTCGCAGGTCTTAAATTCCTAGCGGGTCTTTTAAACAATACTATAGATTCTCCAGTCCTTCTCTCGCAAATCTCCATTAAAGTCCCATTACGTCCATCCCGCTCAAAGGCCCTCTTCTATGTCCCACACGCCACCACTAACTATATGACTAATGCACCTTTAAGACGCCTAATGTCGTCTGCCAATGCAGAACCATCATTCGACAAATTGCTAAATTTTTAATAGATATACAAATTTAAGCTAAAGTTTTTTTTTTTTTTTTTTTGTTTTTGTTTAATGTTTAAGTTTTTATTGTCATCAGATAATTATATTTAATATTAATGTAAGCTGTATATATTTTATTAGTTTTTTGTCTTTTGTAAAATGTCTAACACGATATAAGATTTATTGTAATGTCAAAAAGGGCTAAGCCCGTATAACGAATAATAAATAAATAATAATAAATAAATATAAAGTTTTAAAATAGATTTTAAAGTGCGTCATTCCTTACCATCAAATGGATAAACATTGAAGGTAAACAATGTTCCTTCATATGGAGTATTTAGTAATTCTTCTGCAGTTACTGCCAATATTTCTTCATTTTCTAGTAAAAACAACAAAATATTAGTATCATAATAAAATGGAAATTCATTGGAAGTGTATTCAAACAAAATCTGCTCATTAATATAATTATAATTATATGTTTAACAGATAACGATGTAATTATTTTATCTATGTATTTTAGATTCTGAGAGGAACGATGAATGTATTGATTTTACAATGATGTGTTTTTTTTTTCGTCTGTGTACACGATAAGTAGTCGAAATAATGCTTCGATTTTCAACTTCAGTATCTTTTTTGATGGAAAAGTTAATATTGTTGGTGCATTTTGGAAGTCCAAATTTAAAATTCCAAATTGTAAATTTAATACAAGGCTCCTACTATATTGTTACAATAACAATTGAAAAATATTAAAAATCCTTAGTCACAGTTTTTTTTTATAAGCATTTAATGTTCAAAAATTGACAAAATATGGAAAAATCAAGAAAATTATCAAATTATTTCGAGTGAAGAATTCTTAAAAATTTTTCTTTTTAAATCTAAGATTTTAAAATGTAATACAAGATTCCTTAGAACATTATCTACCTTTATCAAAAAAAAGATGGGTATAAGAAAGTCAAATAAAATTTTTACAACATACTCGATTTCTCATGTAGCGATTTTCTTATTTTGTTGTAATTAAAAACGAATAACTGTAGATACATGAAAATTTCACTGAATGTTTATTTTATCAATTCTTAAATTTGATAAAATTTATGCTACCGAATGACCCATGTATAATTTAACTACGAATGCTTATTACCATACTCGTCTGTACACTGAGCTATTCGTTTGATTCCAATCTTACAACCTTGTTTGTATTTTATTTCATAACTCCAATCACCATCATCGAACTTAGGTATACTTGATGATATTTTCTTTACCACTTTAAAAGATAAAGAATATGTTTTGTTTTCATATAACCAATCAACACTTTTGAACAATGCCGTTTTTAGGACTCTCTATAAAATATAAACTTTGAATAAAATCAACCCTTTTTAGTATATACATACAACATAAACGTTTTATTCCAATAGTCATTTTTAAAAAAAAAATTGTTTTTTACTGTACATTTTGAAGATGGTATATTTAATTTTCATGATTTCCGTGAAATTGCAGTATTGGATTAATAAAATAAAAACGTGCCAAAACCAAAGGAATTATATGTTCATAATATAGATGTACTTATCTACTAAAAAGTAAGTAAAATGAAATAATATTTTTGTTCTTATGTATAAAAATTTATGAGAATTGACTTGTTACTTTTAAATAGAATTATATAGGAAATTAATATTATATATTTATATACATGTATAGAACCAAGTTACCGATTCCTTTATATTTATAGTAGAATGTATATTGGCTTCATCAATTATGTTCATTGAAAACGTACATTTAGACTCATCTTCTAGTAAATATGATACAGATATACATCATTTCATTGAATTCCTTTGTTTCCATTTAATTTTGAACGAGTCTACAGGTCTTTGAGCATTCCACAATAATAATTCATATTTGGGATGGATTTGCAAAATTTCAGCTGGATCTGTAACAATAATCGCATTGAGTAGCTACATGTCAAAATTTAAAAACCTAAACTTATTTTTATAAATATACAAATAAAATATACTGACTGAACGTTTTTGAAAAGATTTTTAGGAGACTTTTTTATAAGTTTATTTAAATAAACTATGTTATTTATTGTCTCGCTATAATATCATATAAATATAATATATAGTTATATAATTTAGAATAGATTTTATCATCTTGTACCTACTAGCATTTTCATACATTTTTCAAAATTTGAACATAAAATTCAATATCGTAATTTACGTACCTACCAGCCATAGATAATTTCGAGATGGACCATTCTTTGATGTCGTACTCAATTTGGTTTAGCGTGGAAATAGAAGTTGGATACTTGCTGTCTGCTATGAATTCTAAACTTTTCTTATCGGAACTCAGAATTAATCCATTAAAGTCAATTGGCATACCAATAGCATTAGTTCTCAAATGAATTTTTGCATTATAGCACCCAAAACACTTGGATATATTGAAATGTTTTCCTGAAAAGTGTAAATTCCACGTAAAACTGTTAAAATTACGTTTGTTATAAAATATTTACGATTGTTTTCTTCGTCAAAATTATATCCCGACTTTGTTTTATAAATTGTTGTGATGTCATAGTTATCTGAGAAAAAAATTTCAAAAGTAAAAATTATTTCTTTGCGAACACTCAATATAATGCAATGGCAATAAATCACTAAATGTAACACCAAATTGAAGGCAGCACATAGAACTGCAGCAATGTATTAATTTATGTAAATATATATTGGGCAGGTACTTTAAAAATCAAATTCAACTAGAATTATAGAGGTTGTATACTTGTATAAGTAATCGATGCGATTGGTACCTATTGCTATTAGAAACTAATTTATACATTAAGTCTTTATCTGAACTTCGTCAGAGTAGGTTGTGTTTCGTTACGTTACCGGTTTTATTTTTCTTGATTAAATTTATTGACATCGTGATACGATTATAATGGTGTTTAAGTGCGTTAAATGTCTTGAGATGTCTTCACACAAAGAAGATTTTCTCGAATGTTCTATGTGTAAAAATATATTACATTTCTATTGTACAGGCTATACCGAACAAAGTTTTAAAAAAATGTCAAATAATACAACATCGAGATATTTATATGCTAACTGTAAAACACATAATATACAGAAATCTCCAAAATCACATACAAATGAAATTACAGTTAATACAGAAAACTCAATGGAAAAAAACATCGAGGAACTTATTAAGTCAGTATCCTTTATGAGTTCACAGTTTGATAATTTTAATAATAAAATTGACAATATCGTGAGTGAATTGAAAATGATTAAACAAGTAAATGAAAAAATAATAGCAGAAAACAATCGACTAACAGATGAAGTTTCCGTACTGAAAAATAAAATCGACGAAATTGAACTATACAATCTAGGAATATCAGTGGACGTAATGGGTATACCTAAAACCATTAATGAAGATTGTATTTCCATAATAGAAGAAATCGGTAAAAAAACTAATACTGAATTAAAAGTACTTGAAGCCTATAGAATAACCTCTTTTACATCTACATATAATATTATTACTGCAAAATTAGCAACAATTGATATGCGGAAAAATCTAATTCGAAATGGAAAATCTTTGAAACTGACAGCAGATAAAATAATTAATAGTTGGCCGAAAGAAAAAATATACATTAATGAGCGTATTACAAAATCTAAAAGAGCACTTTTTGCACAAACTAGATCCGCTGCGAAAGAAAAATTATATAAATTTGTTTGGCTATCGAATGCGGATATTCTTGTAAGGAAAAATTAAGATTCCAAAATAATAAAAATTAAATCTCCTCAAGATATTTAAAAACTATAGTTAGTATAATTTTAATATGTATAATATAAATATAAATTAATTTATAAAATTAATTTTTAAACTCTTAAATGAACAAGAATATATTAAATACTGATGCAATATTGAATATAAATAATATTAACTCTAGTTATTTAGACTCCATAGCTGATATCCCTTTAAATAATAATGAATTTTCAATTTTTCAAATTAATATTAGAAGTATTAATTATTATTTTGATCATCTTGCAATGTTACTTAGCTCAATTAAAAATCATTTTGATATTATTATTCTATGTGAAACATGGCTTTTAAATGACCATGAATATACTTTAAATGGTTATAAATCTTTTAATTCTTTAGGAACATTAAATAAAAGTGACGGTGTTACTGTTTTTATTAAAGAATCCCTAATTATACTTCAAATAGAAAATCATATACTACCTATTAAACTGTAACTCAATATTCCTTAAAATTAAATTGAATGAAAAAATTGTATTATTAATTTGTATATATAGATCACCGAACGATAATCTTGAAATATTTATTAAAAGTTTAAACTCGTTTTTATCTTGTAATGATAATAAATGTCCAATTATTATTTGCGGAGATATTAATATTGATATATTGGGTAATTCCAATATTAATAATGAGTATCAAAATATTTTAGCAGCTAATGAATTTATAATATGTATTAATAATTTTACCAGAGTCACTGAATCCTCTAAATCTTGCATTGATCACATATTTATTAAAAATGTTGATACAAATAAAATAAATTCATATATATTAAAATGTGACATAACCGATCATTATGCTACAATATTGATTTTATCTGATATAGTTATTAATAATATAAATACTTGCCAGAATTTAAATATAAATAAGGTAAATTTTAGTCACTTAAACTTATTAATCAACACAGAAAATTGGTATTCCTCTTAGATAACGAAAATGTAGACACTATGGTTGATATTTTTAATAATAAAATAACAGAATTCATTTATCACTCTACATTCTCTGTAAACAACTACAAACCTAAAAAAATTATTAAACTAAAAGAGTGGATTACCTACTACCGGAATAATAACTTCAATCCGAAATAGGGAAAAACTATTTGCCAAATTAAAATCAAGACCCTTTGATATACGTTTTAAATATTTTTATAATATGTATAAAAACTTGTTAAATGATTTAATTAGAAAATCTAAACAACTTTATTATCAAAATAAATTAAAAATCGCTCAATCAAATAATAAACAAGTATGGAAGATTATAAATGAGGTAATTGGAAAATCAAATAAAAGTAAAGTATGTAATATAAATAAGATAATAAAGAAAGACGGTTTAATTACCGAATCAAAAAAAGAAATCTGTAATGTGTTAAATGAATTTTATATAAATGTTGGAAATAATTTAGAAATTGAACACGTTAACCATAATACGTTAGTTGTTAACGATAATCAAATCATTAATGAATGTTTATTTTTTAAACCAATCAGTAATGAAGAAATTATAAATCATATTAATAAAATAAATAATAATACATCTTTTTACGAAAATGAATTATCCAATTACATACTTAAAAACATTTCTAATTCTATATCCTTACCTTTATCAATTATATATAATAAATCTCTACAAACTGGTGTATATCCTCATAATTTTAAAAAATGTATTGTAGTTCCATTATTTAAAGGGGGTGATAAATTATTACCTGGAAATTATCGGCCTATATCATTATATATAACTCTTTCAAAAATCTTTGAAAAATGCATCAAAAGCAGAATGTTTGATTTTTTAAATAAAAATAAATTTTTTTCTATGCAACAATTTGGGTTTAGACCAGGGTTATCCACTACGGATGCTCTTTTTAATGTTGATAACTTTATAAGAAAAAATATTGATAAAAATTATAAAGTTATGGGTATATTCCTTGATATACATAAAGCGTTTGATTGTGTTGATCATAATTTATTACTATTAAAATTAGAAAACGCAGGTATTCGTGGACTGCCAAATAATTTATTGAAATCCTTTCTAAGCAATAGAACCCAAAAAGTTAAACTTAATAATCATTATAGTGACACTTTGAAAATATCCTGTGGAGTGCCACAAGGCACAGTACTAGGCCCTTTATTATTCATAATTTTTATAAATGATCTTCTAAATATAAAAACAAATTTTAATACAGAAATATTAGGTTTTGCTGATGATACATCAATTTTAATATCAGAACGAACAATAGATACCTTGTATTCTGAAGCAAATAAAACCCTAGATAATATTAATACTTGGTTTTGCAAAAACAAACTAAAATTAAATTTATCGAAATCTAAATATATTATATATTGTAGATACAAACATTATAAAGGTTCATTCTTCAGAATGTAATTCAATTTTGATTAATAAATGTACTCCTAAATGCATTATACTTGAACAAGTAAAAGAATTAAAATATCTTGGCTTAATTATTGATTACAGACTAAAATGGGATAGTCATATTAATTATGTAAACAATATTATACGTAAATTCTTTTTCATATTTAAAGATATAAGATATATTTTTAATAAATCATATAAAAGAATAATTTACTTATCCTTGGTACAGTCAATTTATTCGTATGGTATCTCAATATGGGGAGGAACATTTAATATTCATTTATCTAGATTAATAACTACTATAAATTGCATTATTAAATATTTATTAAATTTATCTATGCAAACTAATACTAAATTTATATATAATGAATTAAAAGTTAATAATTTTAGTTTTATTTTAAATTTATCTACTCTTATTGTACTTTATAAACATAAACATTTAATTCCCTTCCTAGATCATGATCATGATACAAGATACAGTAATAATATTAATATAAGTCTACCCATTTATAATAAAGTATTTGGTCAAAAAAGTGTTTTGTGTAAGGGACTAAAACTATGTCAAAAATTAAATATTAATGTAAACGATTTTTCTAGTTTGAAGTCATTCAGATGGCATGTTTTACATCAGAATTTAAATTTATAGTTTTTTCTTTTATCCATACCGTCTTGTTAACATAATAATTATCATTGTTTTTTATTTTTATTTTTCTCTAATTATATTTAGTTACAGTTTATTTTAAAAGCAATTTTACTTAATGTAATATTTTAAATCTCATTTTTATTAAGAATTAAGATAAAGACCGCTCCCCCAGCACAAGCTAGGCTTATAGGCAATAAATACTATTATTATTATTATTATTATTATAAATTATATCAATATATAATACTCTTATATATTTTATATTTGTAAAAGTTTATATTGTGAGTAGTCGAATTTTCATTATATTGTGTCTAACCGAAACGTAATTCCCATGTATCGAGGAGAGTCATGTCTCATGTGGTCGCCTCAGACAAGTATCAAGGTCACCAATCATGGGTCGAGACCCGAAAACTATATATAAATTATAAATGTTTATTTTAAGGATAAATAGTTACGTTGGTGCCGAGATTACCGACTGGCATAAAACTCGGTCAGAGTTAAAATAATAATGAACACCTGTTCTATAATAAATAATAATACACCAAACACACAAACTAGTACATATCGCATGGTTCCGATTAAGCGGTTTACCGGCGAGTAAAATAATTATAATAATTTAAAAAGTGTACCACTGAATAAGAGATACCTACATTAGGTACCTGCCGGCTCCGACTAAGCGGTTACCGGCGGGTGGAATAATAAGCAGATATACCATTTTTATTATAGTAATAACAATTAAAAAAAGGTGGGCAAGTGGGTGTCGCTATGCTGTACAGTAGGTTACAAGTGGGTCACTGTATAATGGATGGTATTAAATTTGAATTCAATGATATAATATCATTGTATAAGAAAAACGATTCTGAGCGGAGACGGTATGTCCTTCTAGGTATAAGACATATTATATACATATCTATGGTATTAAAAAAAATTGACCTATAATGAATTCCAAATTAATCATATCACAATATCCATTAGGTACTTATAACGCGTTATACACCAACAACAAACCCTGATACTATCATAGATATATATAGTAGATTACTTTAGAAATTTCAAGTACCCACGAATAGTATTATACAATCACAACAAAATAACTAAAATCGTAATTCTTGGTTTAAATATGAAATTTTGTCTAAATTTGAAATTAAAATGTCTGTAAAAAATAAGTGTGTTTATATATTTTTTAGATTTTTTGGTTACAGTATGAATTATTTAAGAGAATCTTTGTTTTAAATTTTCAACTCTTAGTTATAAAAACTGAACATTTTATAATTTTTTAATTCCAACGATTGATAATTTTCGAGATTTTGATAAATTTTGTTGTGTGTATAGGAAATGCTAATATAAACATTCAGTGAAATTTTCATGTGTCTACAGTTATTCGTTTTTGAATTACAACAAAATAAGGAAATCGCTACATGAGAAATCGAGTGAACATCCAATGTTGTAAAAATTTGAATTTCAAACGCTCATAAAAATTTAATTTGACATTCCGGTAGAGATTTTTTTATTGATAAAGGTAGACAAACTTATGAGTAATCTTGTATTACATTTTTAAATCTTAGGTTTAAAAAGAAAAATTTTTACGAATTCTTAACTCAAAATAATTCGCTAATTTTCGTGATTTTTCCATATTTTTACAATTTTTAAACTTTAAATGCTTATAAAAAAAAATTGTGACTAAGGATTTTTAATATTTTTCATCTGCCTTTGAAACAATATATTAGGAGCCTTCTATTAAATTTTCAAGCTTTCGTAACCAACAAATAAAATTTTATTGATATTTTTAGAAAAAAAACTAAAAAAAAAATGGAAAATGAAAATGTTCCTAAACAGTTCAAAATAAATCAAAATATTTTGAAAATGTTATCGTGTATAGAAAATGCAAATATAAACAACCAGTGAAAATTTCATGTATATACGTTCATTTGTTTTAGAGTTACACCAATAACCAAAATCGATTTTTTGGAAAACCAATTTTGCGTAAAAATTCCCGTTTTTCCTTAATTTTTATGTTGTTTTTCCCGGCGCTTGTGAAAACTACTGGGAAATGTTTACTTTTGACCCCCCCCAAAGTACCAACTAGATTCACTTTCCTATCAGAAAAGGTACTATTGAAGAAAATCTAAGCACTTTTACTGTCCCAAAACGTGATGACAGACACAAAAATATAAAAATATAAAAATATAAAAATATAAAAATATAAAAATATAAAAATATAAAAATATAAAAATATAAAAATATAAAAACACACATCATTGTAAAACCAATACATTCATCGCTCCGCTCAGAATCTAAAATAAGAGTACCGCCCGAGTACCGGTCACGGTTAAATAATATATATCGATGGCGTAGCGCACAAGTGTGATAAGTGACATTTTTTTAAAAAATGAGTTAAGTGCATAATCAATTTAATCATACAATTCTGCACATTATGCCCAAACGTTGTAAGTGGATAGTTCATTATTTACTCCGATAGATGTCGTACAGTTCGTTACATTTTTGAATTTGTTATAACATCTCAAACTTAAAAATCGTTCTCCTGAACAATTACGAAAATGTCACTTATCACACTTGTGCGCTACGCCATCGATATTATATATTACCTATATAGGTATAACAAAACATAATCATCCGATGCTATCATGTTCCGCCTCTCGGCGCACTAGCAAAAACGGTGTCTACTCGCTGGTCATCTAATGGGTATGGGAACAAAAAATGAAATGCTGGTCTTTTGCTCTGTCAGCCGAGGCGACAAAGGGGATCATATGCGCGCAGTTAATGATAATAATGAAGTGACCGATACTCTGGGTGCCTCAGTAAAGGTATGTTGATCGTTGGTGTGAAGAGACCTTACATAATTATACCTAAACCATGGGTACCAAGGCAGGCACGCCCGGAGCCGTTAATTTATTAATTTGAATTTTTCGAATAAATAAAAATATAAAAATTCCTTCCCTATTAATTATATTATATTATATATACATATGCTAAGAAACCGTCGTCTGTCAAACTTTAGTATAGGGTACAGTGATGAAAGAACTGTAATACCACGCGTGACGCGTCTATTAATACATTTATTTTGGTCACTAAATGATATTATATAATATTAATTTCGTTAAGGATCCCCGCTACGGCTTTTATTTGAGGGGCAACATTTAGGCAATTTTTAATCAATTACAGTTTACAATAATGTAAGATTTAATGTTTACAAAGCGTTCTTTACGATCTATAGACAATTTTCTGGCGAGTTCGAGTTTTTCAGAATAAAAATCGGAAACTAACTTTAATTTTCTTAAAACTTAAGGTCTTTTGAACTAAAATTGACAGCAGTAGCGAGGCCTCTTAACTGTGGTACATTATTATCGGTAGGTATGTTTGATCCACTCATTATTCTAATAATAATAATAATCTTTATTAAAGGAAATTTAATTCCAAATTACATTTTTAGATTCTGAGTGAAACGATGAATGTCAGAATGTATTGATTTTACAATGATGTGTGTTTTTATATTTTTTTTTTTTTGAAGTTATACTTCTTTACGCAGGGTAGTGAGGAAAAAAAAGCGATATATATTTACTATAGATACTCTTGATAAACTAATATCTGCTAAAGAATAATTGAGTATAATTGTCGTCTTTTTCATAGAAAAAGTAATAGTAGAGCATTTTTTCAAATTTAAGCATAAATCATTATTTCGACACCACATAAAGATATTATCTAAATCAAACTGGAGTTTAATAGCATCATCCATGGTTCTAATTTCTTTAAATATCTTTGCATCATCGGCAAACAGTAAGATTTTTGAATATGAAACTACTTTTGATATATCGTTTATAAAAAGACAGAATAATATCGGAGATAAGTGGTCTCCTTGAGGAACTCCTGATGTAACGTTAATTTTTTCAGATAGATGGTTACCATATTTGATAACCTGAGTACGGCCTGTGATAAATGAATGAAACCACGAAATAAGTGGTTCAGCAAACCCATAAGATTTAAGTTTACTAATTAATAGTTTGTGATTCATCCTATCAAATGCTTTCTCCATATCCGTATAAATAACATCAGTTTATGAGTGAGTACTAAATGACTGTAGGATCGAGTGTTTGAATATGCCTAGGTTTGTAACTGTTGACCTGTTTTGTCTAATAATATAATAATCTAATAATAATAATATATTGGTGTATACTGTATAAAAATAAAATATTAATAAAGTATTATTATTATTGTACACGTATAAACCTAACACTAGAGATTGTTTATTGTATTGTTATACAATTATATACTCATATTTTAATTGCATTGTAAAACAATTACAGTTAATTCTGAAAATTGCAATTAAAATTTTTACTTGAATATAAATAATATAAAACATGAAACTAACGTAAGTATTACTAAAATTAGGGCTAATTCATTAAATGGTATATTTTTCCAAACAATTAATTATTTTATACTACAATTGATAACCAATTTATATTAACCATTATGTAGGTAATTATCTAATTATTAGGTACCTATAATCAATATAAATTATGAATTCTTATATTTTTAAAAATTCATCATAAAGATGTCATTAAATAAGGGTAAGGAATTGGGGGGCAAAGCCCCCCACAGCTTATATTGTCACTAAAAGTAGGTATTTTGCACCTAGTGAGCTACTTATCTGCGGGCGTGACTGTACCAAGGAGCCAGGAGGGGAACGTGTGTGCGACTGCCGTACAGGTGGTAAGGTCATCGATCGGCGGAGACCTGTGGTCGGGTGTTGACCAGTTGCCCCCCCACGGCTGTTATCGGAATTTAAAAAATATACCAGTTGCCCTCAACCAAGTGTACCAATTGCCTCCAACTGAATGTACCAGTTGCCCTTACATGTTAATATATACTACATACACGATTACAATATATAGCCCGTAAAATAGGGGAGGTAAATATACAAATAATAAATAAAATAGTATAAAATGATAGAAAAAAATTAATATGCTTGGAATATATACCTAATATTGTATTTTGTAATAAATAATAATTACCAACAAAATAATATGAATACAATAGTCAATAAAATAATAAATATTATAATTATGTGATATTCAATGGGATAATTTGTCAAAAAAAAAAAATAGTAAAAAATTTTATATAATATTATGCACTATGTTTTGTTATAATAATTACTATTATTATTTAAAAAAAAAGGTACTTTTGGCGAAAACTGGTACATGCCCCTGAGGATCGAAACCGGTTTAACCGGTTTTCTGAAAAACCGGTTAAAACCGTGGTTTTTTCATATTTCAACACCGTAACTGGAACCGAAACCAAAATCTTTAAAACACCAGTTAATAAACCGTAACTGAAACCTAAAATCTTAAAAAACTGTTTAGAAAACCTAAACCGAAACCATCAATATTGAAACCCCGTTCTTGAAACCGATTGAAATTTAAAACTAATATCGGTTTCTTCGAATTTTATAAAGTTAATTACCTACCTATATTATTTATAATTCTAGTTAAAACTAGTATTTTTACGAAGAAAATATTTTGTTTGAATACCGATGATATAACTGATTAGTGATTATTACGAAATATTAATTGGTAATACGAATATTATTCTATTTACATTGTATAATACCATTATTATACTCTCACTGATTCAAAATTAAAATACAAATATCACAATTGTTATTTTTTCACCCCTATAATAATTATAATATGCGGCTATGCACGTCTGTATTGTTGTTATTTGATGTATTTGTGTATATTATTATTTATTAATGTTATTACAATTGTTTCGTATTTGACTAATCCGCGTCCGTCCAGCAGTTATCAATTACTTATGCCATTATCATCATTCTCCTCAGAATCCCCTGAATTACAAATGGGTGTACCAAATCTTATAACGTGTATTTTTGGAATCTTAACATACTAAATTTTTAAATAACAATATTTTCAATAGTCCAATACTATTTTTTTAGTATCTATTTAAATTAATATTTTGTTCAAATATCATAAGCATTAATCACATAACAAGAGATTTATTATACTGTAATATAGTGTGCAGTGGCGTATTTTGAAATTTTTTGTGGGGGGGGGTCTAAATATTAGGTACCTACAAGTTTATAATATAAAAAAAAACACATACGAGTTACGATGTAATAATTATATTATATTATATTTTTTTCTGGGGGGGTCCAGACCCGGGGACCCCCCCCCCCGTAAATACGCCACTGATAGTGTGATGTTATTGTAAATTACATTTAAATATTAATATAATCAACTAATGATCTCAACCATATGTTGCATGCGAAAGTAGGTATAACATATTAAAGTTAACAACACGAAATTAGTTCTGCTAAACTTAAATTTACTATATTGTATTTACCTACTACCTACACTATAGTTATACAAATCCGACATATTTTAGGGCTTTAAACACCGCTCAGACCCTTATTAGTTATTATTAAATAGATAGTAAAAATCGGGTCAGCAGTTATTAGGTAAAAGAAAAAATAATTTTCAAAAACCAAAACCAACAATTTTCAAAAACCGTTCTTAATACCGATACATTTTAAAAACCTTTATTGAAACCGAAACCAAAGCCATAAATTTAGAAAACCGTTCTCAAAAACCGAAACCTTAACCATTAAAATTTGAAACTGTTTCGTTCTCTGCCCTGAGGTCAGCGGGATAAATTGTCTTACCGCACTTTGCGCTCATAATGAACCTGTTATGTGTTTTTATAATAATTAATGCACTTCTTGAGCGTGATTTGCGTTGGACGTCACAATATATAAAATGTTTTGATACTAAACTTACGTATTGGCATTATTGAGGTACATAATATATAAATATATAATACATTCAAAGGTGTACCTATGATGATGGTCTACAGGTTACAACTAAAAATATTAATTATATACGCATAATAAATAAAAAGACACAATCAAGTTTACATAAAGAATACACGGGTACATCTTCTTTTGTAATACTTTTCATATTATTTACGTCAGCAAATAATTTTTAACAGGTTATACATTTCTTATATTAATTATTTAATTAAAAAAAATACCTGTGTGTGATTTGTATTCAATGACTACATTTGATATTCCGCTGATAACGAAAATATCTAAAATTAGTATAGCGACGATTACTACATTCATTGTTGTAAATTCAAAATCGTTTTAGTTTCTTGAATTTAAAATAAACAATACCTAGGTAATACACATTGTTAATTGTTTATACGGTATAATAATATATTATGTACGACACGACTGTTCACCACTGCAAGTACAAAGTGAATGAAATCACAGGAAATATATTGACTACTACTGTAAATGTATTTTATAGTTTTCCGTTACCTGCGACAATCTGCACAAATATTATCATAACATTGTTGAGTAATGAGCAGGGCTAGGATTTGTATGCAACAGCTTGTTTTTTTTGTGACTTCTAATTATTGATTTTGTCAGTAATGTCCACGAATCACCTCATGATGAGATAAATGGTGGTGTTTTTATTTTGCATGTTTTTGCATATTTTGGATAAAATGCATATTAATGCATATATCGAATAAAATTAATAATATTGCATATTTCGATTATAAAAATGCGAAAAATGCATGTTTTATAGTATATTTTGTAATTAATATTTATAATTTAATATTAATATTTCGTATTTAATTCTAGCTCTGCTGATTAAAGTATAAAACTTGGTTTTTTTTGTCAAACACTAATTTTATTTTTATAAATACAATCCTATGGTACAATAGGTATGCGATTAAAGATTAAATAGTTTGACGGAAAAAGATAAACACAATTAATAAAAGTTTGTCGGTCAATATAAAATCTAAGATAAGATATAATTTGTCCGGTATTATAGTGTATTTGTATTACACACAATCCCACGGAGTAGTGTACAGTGGCGTAAATTGGGCTAAACTGTTAGGGTTGCAATACATTTCTAGGTTGACAAGACTTTTGACAAGACTCATTACTAATGAGTATCAAAGGTTTTCGCCATTATCGGTCTTTTCAAATCCTATTAATTATTTGTACCAATTATAATATATAGTTCGAATGTACATGGTATAAATATAAATTTACACTTTGATCCCTACGAACATTTGACGGTGATAAAGGCTTTTGTTCGAACTTCAAAATACATTATAATATGGAGTATTACATTGGGGTGTCACCGGTTTCCACCAAAAATTACCTTTCCGTTTTCCGCCAATACCTTTTTCCGCCAAATCAGAAAAAACGTCATTCCTTTTTCCACCAATTATAAATTATTGAATTTTAAAGTTTAGGAACCCTTACGTAAAGATTTAATAATTGCACACTATAGAGTTAAAAAATAATAATATTTTTTCCAGTTATTAGGTACTTATTATATATTAGTAATGATATTAGTGTACCGACAAAATAAGTCAAAAAATATAATTGAGTATTATGATACGTAAGGGTTCCTAAACTTTAAAATTTCAAGTTTCGGCCAATTAATCAAGCGCTGACATATTGACATATTGTCATCAAGACAATGCAAATATAAATATCATTTTTTTAATACTTATATATATTATACCTACCTAATAAGTGTTATGATAAAATTATATTTTTTGACTTATTTTGTCGGTACACTAATATCATTACTAATATATAATAAGTAATAACTGGAAAAAATATTATTATTTTTTAACTCTATAGTGTGCAATTATTAAATCTTTACGTAAGGGTTCCTAAACTTTAAAATTCAATAATTTATAATTGATGGAAAAAGGAATGACGTTTTTTCTGATTTGGCGGAAAAAGGTATTGGCGGAAAACGGAAAGGTAATTTTTGGCGGAAACCGGTGACACCCTTACATTGATCTATTCTTCAAACGCGACTATTCTTTTACATTCGATGTTTTTCGTTCCCTGGATTCTGCAAATAATACAATTTGATTAATTTATACCATCCATTGACTGTAGCTTAATGTACAGTGTTAATTTGTATTTGAGCAAGCTGCATTATTCGCAGGTATGAGAAAAATAGGGCCCCTCACAAAATTACTGAA